TGCACTCACCCCGGCCAGCGGCCCTGCTGCCCGCCCGCGGGCCTAAGATGGCGGCGGCGAAAGAGACCGGGCGAGCGGCAGCCCCGAGCGGGAAGCGCCGGAGGGACCTCCACCGCCCTGCTTCGGACCCCCGGACCCTGGCGCGGCTCGCGGCGGGACCATGGCTTCCTGGGGCTCTTACCTGCCCGAAACGGACTCGAGGGGATGCGGCCACACGTTCTGCTCGACCGCCCGTTTTGCCGCCTCCGCCTCGCCCTCCCCAGCGCCGCTGCCGCCATCTTGTGTCCCGGGCCGGGACTCCGCGCTGCGCATGCGTTGGTACCGCCTCTGAGGGACCTCGCCGCGGCCGCGCCGCCATCTTGAGTGTGGCAATGTTGGCCGCTTCCCCAGACCTTGATCGCTTTCGACCCCCTCCCCATCCTCCCGCCCTTCCCTGTTGTCTCGTGTGGTCCTAAGGAGCGGGGGGAAAAACAGCTTTGCTTTTCTCGCGATGTAGGCGGGAAGGAATGAATCCACACGCACGCCCTGCCTCAGTTTCCCTGCCGAACACACTCGCAGGGGTGGCGGATCTGAGACACTTGGGACACGAGGCTTGTTTGGAATCTTCTGGGGGCTCTGGCTCGGCTGCCGACGCAGAGGCGGAATGGTGACGGAGGTGGGCACCTGGGTCCTAGCCTCCCCAGGGCTCTTCTGCTTCCATCCGATCTCGTCCTCTCGGGGCCTCCGTCCCCCTGCGGGCCCTGGGATGTTTTCTCTTTTGCCCGGAGGCCAGATGGCGTGCAGAACGAACCTTCTCCGTTAGCAACCTGTTCACAAGTTGCTCTTGAATAGCCCAGCAGTCGGAGGAGTGGTGTGGTGCGGAGAAGCTGGCTTTGGGCGGCTGGAAAGTTGTGAAGGCCACACAGTGGAGCTCTGCAGGAGACTCGAGAGCTCGGGACCTTCACCGGCTCCTGCCGGAATTAGGCCACTAGCTCCACCCACTTGTGGCCTGCTAAGGAAGCTGTCGCCCAGTTAGGGTAGCTTGAAAGGAGGACAAGTTTGCCACCTGCTGCTGGACTGGTGCCGCAGCTACCCTGGCTGGTCAGTTCTCTGGTGACGCTTGTGCCTGCAGCTTCGAGGGCTAGAGTTGGGGGGTCTTCGCATGTCTTTTTGCTTTTTTTTTTTCTTCTGTTAAACAATCTTACTTTGTTAACCCTTGCTGGCCAGGAACTTGAGATGGCAAACCATGCTGGCCTTGAACTCAGATCTGCCTGCTAATGTTTCCTAAGTGCTGGGATTAAAGGGATGTCCAGCCAACTTTTTTTCCCCCTTTCAGGCAGGGTCTCACTATGTTGACCAGGATAGCCTCCTGAATGCTGGGACTAAGGCATCCATCACCATGCCTGGCCAATCACTTTTTTTTTTTTTTTTTTTTTTTCTTCCAAGACAGGGTTTCTCTGTGTAGCTTTGTGCCTTTCCTGGAACTCACTTGGTAGACCAGGCTGTCCTCGAACTCACAGAGATCCGCCTGCCTCTGCCTCCCAAGTGCTGGAATTAAATGCGTGCGGCGCTGCTGCCGCCGCCGCCGCCGCCACCCAGCCACTTTTTTTATTTCAGGGAGTGGTGGTGTGCTCTGCTAGCACTTGGGGAGGTAGAGGCAGGAGGATCAGGAATCGTCTTTGACAACATTGCAAGTTCAAAGTTGTCCGCATTACATGAGACCTTATCTAAGCAACAGTGGTAGCAGCTGCGCCTTTTGGCTCACACCTGTAACCCCAGCATTGAGAGGTGGAGACAGAAGGGTCACCATAGTTTGAAGTTAACAGAGCTACAAGAGTGAAATTCTGCCTCAAAAAGGAAAGTTTTTAAAAGGGATTGGTTAGGGGTGTGTAGCTTGGTAATGGTGTTTCCCTAGTCCCCGACTCAGTCCCACTACTTTAAAAAAGCAGTCGTGATGGTGGTGGGCTCCTTTAATCCCGGCTCTGATCCACCTGGGCTCGCAGTGCAGCTAGAGGTACACAGTGAGATCCTGTCTCAGATGAGAAGCAGGTGGAGTCACGAGTGTGCACACCTGAAACCCCAACACACCTAGCACTGGAAAAGCTGAAATGGGGACGCTGTCAGGTCAGCCTGGTCTTCATCGTGACCACTATGTAGTGAAACACCCAAGCAAATCCAGAGGAGCACCTGAGAGCTGCGCATGGTGGTCCTTACCTGTGGGTCCAGATACTGGGAAAGCTGCACGAGGAGAAAGCTGGATAAGAGGGAA